TCAGTTCAAAATACTAGCATGACAGTGCTCATTCTTATAATGTAAATGAGATTTTCCACTTTGAGTCAGAAGTGTCACCATAATGACAGGCTCAAAGAGGACTGCAGCTTCAGTTAAGATTGTACATTATACAGAGCTCTTACACAAAGAACAGATTTCATACACTCTTAAATTTATAAAAAAAGGCTAAATCCTAAATTCCTTTAAAAGCATACTCGTTGAACAAGTCTCCTAATACAAACATGAGTTGAAAAATATCTTTCTTACTTGTAAGAAGCGATCCATAACTGCAACACACATATACAGTGTTTCCTGCAAAAGCTGGCATCTTGAGTGGACCTGGACAAGCCAGTCAACTAAAATTGCACGCATACGCCCATTGATCGTCTTCCCGTCAAGGTAATGCGGGCGGACCGATTGCTGCAGCTGTTGGAGAGAGAGCTGTGTGAGCAACAAGATTGATGTTATACTGCAGAAGCACAGACTCAGTATGTCATACCTCAAGCTCTCTCAGATACAGGTAGATATCTTTTACGTAGTCGCTACATAGCTGGGGATTCTCCCAGTCCTCAGCATCAATGTCTTCTACATTGTTGAGCAACACGTCAGAGAAAGCCTGGCACAAATCCTCCTCTTGCATAGACACATCCATAGGGACAGGAGACAGAACCTAAAGGAACCAATCATAGTGCTTACATGTCAACTGTTTAAGCTGCAATGTTCCTTCATTTCCACATTTGTCCAGTTACTAATACAATTTCTTAAGAAATTGAAACTAAGCTTACATTCTGGCATGGCAAGCTTTCACGAAGGTGCTGTATGGACAATCAGAAGACCTTCTAGCAATTGCCAGCTAAAGCAGAAACTTCATCCAGTACTTCAACAGCTATTTCTGCCACTTTAATGTTAGCCTTTAAGCATAACATGAATTAAACCAAAACCTCAGGCTTTGCTTTTTCAGCAGGGAAATGAGATACATCTACAGATAAACTATCCAGAAGTTAGAGCTCTAAGCTGCAAATCAAATTAAGAATCAGAACAGTATCATTACTTCCTACCTTTGGAACAGCAGTTTCTTTGGATGATTGTTTCACAGCAGCTGGAGGTTTAGGCACTACAGTTACATTTGTCATCTTACTAAGTCCTTTTGTAGGCTTTATGGATGCTTTGGAGCATTCTGTTTTCTGTAGCAACAACAATTATTATTAGTACAGAGCTAGTAACCCATCTTTTCCTTATAGATAGATTTTAAATGTTCCTTTACCTTAGCTATACGTGTTCCTCGCGTTGCAACTGTATTTCCTATTTCTTCCAAAGCACCCCTTTTGTTGTCAGCAAGGCGAGTTTTGACTTTACTTTTAAGTTCAATTGCAGCATTCTCTACCCCTCTAGTGACCTAAAACAATAAAATTGCAGCTTAAGAGTCACAGACCAACTTTATTTAACTTTCAGATACCTAATGCCATTATACGCTTTCCACTGCTGTACCTCTGTGCATGCTATCCATTACTCAACCAGTTTTTATTTCTTACCCACTCTCACGTGCTCAGAGGAAGAAGTCTCCTCTGTATAGGCTTCAGGCAGTACCATGCTCTCTGAAATTGCATTCAAGATCAGAGCAACGCACCCTCTTTTTTCCTCACTGACAACTTTTTAGAGTGCTCACCTGCTACTTAACCATTTATTGTATTTACACACGTAAGTAATTTACTCGTTACACACATACTACGTAAATAGAAAAGTTACGTTACGCGTGCAAAAATAAACATCCTTCGTTTTGCAAAACTCGTGGAGTTCTCACTCCCTCGCCCCCTCGGTCACTTGCTCGCTCGCTCCCTCCCTCGCCTCGCGCCCCCCGGTCGCTCGTCCGCCCGCTCCCTCCCTTTCCCTCCCCGGTCGCTCGCCCGCTCCCTCCCCTCGCCCCGCCCTGTGGCTCGCTCT